ATCCGAAGAGGTTACTTGAAGAAGTACGTCGGCAGCCGAGAACGGGCTGAGCCAGAAGGATCGGCTCGGGAGGAGAAGCGAGAAAGGTCACCACCGCCCAACGAAAAGAAGATCGTCCTGCCGTTATAAACACCATTCACGGGGGTCCAAGCTGGGGGCAGTCTAGGCAGAAGAGGAAAGCCCTAGCCCTGGAAGCCGCGCACGAAGTCTGCACCTCATACCCGAAGGAGCCAGTGATGCCGATCTTGTTCGGCGAGCAGGACGGCAAAGGGGTCCATATGCCTCATAATGACACCCTAGTAATTGCCCCACAAATAGACCATGTGAAGGTCAGAAGGGTCCTCGTCGACATCGAAGCGTCGGCTAATATATTGTCTTTCTCGACCTACACGGCCCTAGGGTGGAAAGAAGACATTTGAAGCGCAGCCCAACACCTTTAGTCGGCTTCGCGGGGGAGTCAATTAGAGCGGAATGGTGCATCTCACTCTCTGTCACCGTCGGCGAAGGAGATCAGCAGGTGACCAAGGTCACGGAGTTTGTTGTAATAGACCGAAGCTCGGCGTACAACGCCATACTTGGCCGATCTCTTATTCACGATCTCAAAGCAGTTCCGTCTACTTACCATCAAGTGTTGAAGTACCCGACCTCGGCTGGAGTCGCCACAGTCTGAGAGAGTAAAAAACGTCGAGAGAGTGCTACACGGCCGTGATGAAGGGGACCAACACTTGCGCGGCAATCATGAAGCTAGAAGCAACCGCACCACCACGTGCCGACAAAGCAGAGCCCAGCCGCGGCACCCCAGCTGAAGAGCTGAAACTTTTCCCCTTGCTGGGGCCGGATAAGCAGGTCAGCGTCGGTAGCAGGCTGGGGGCCGGCGTGAAGAAAGAGCTCATCGATTTTCTGAAGGAGAATTCCGACGTGTTCGCATGGGCTTGGGCCAGTCCAACTATTCAAACCTAGGCTCATAGCCCAATCCATGGGCCTAAGTTGATGAGCCACAGTTGGATTGGGCTTGGATCGGCCCTTTGGATCGGGCTTAGATCGGCCCGTATATTAATATATTTTTAATTATTAAATTATTAAATTTAAATAATTTCCAAACTAAGTTTTTTATTTTTAAATTCTAGAATATGTGTTTTTATATAATTTTTAGTATATTTTTTTTGTTATTTTTATAATCTTACTAATAAATTTTATTATGTCATATTTTATTTTATAAATTCAAGTTGCCTTATTTTAAAAAATTATATTTTTTATTTTTAAAAATTAAATTTATATCTTTTTACAAGAGAAATTGAAAATTTAAACACTCTGAATTCGAATGGAACTTGAGAGGATTTGAGATTGAGAATTAGAATTAGAATTTGAGTGAAGAAAAAGAAAAGAAGGTTGATATTTATAAGAAAATTTTGTATTAAAAAATTTTAAAAATTACAACCTAATATTAGATATATTTAAAATAATTTTATATTTTATATTTGAGAAGTTGGAGAGTTTCCTTGTAATATGTTTTAAAAGAATGATTTAAATGAAATATTGGAAAGTGATAGAATCTCTTCTATGTACCTATTTAGTAGGGGAAACAAAAGATCCTATAGTCTACTATATCTAATTTATTTTTTATAATAAATAAATAATAAAAGAATATATTAATATTATATAATATAAATATTGGATCAGGCTTTTGGGCTGGCCCTACGGGCCAATCCAAATACGGCTCAAACGGGCTGGCCCATGGGCCGGCCCAAATTAAAAAATGAATATCCATATCCAATCCAATTAATAAAAGGGTTGGATTGGGCCGGGCCGGTCAAACGTTGACCTTGGATCGAGCTTGGATCGGGCTTGGGCTGGGCCTGGGCCGGCCTTTGGCCTCGGGCCCG